CAACCTGTTCGCTGCGGGTGAGCTGGGACCCCGAAAACACCCCAAAAACCATGGGAATACCCCAAAACACCCCTGAAACGGGCTGGGACCCCAAAAACCAGCTGGGGTACCCCAAAAATGGGCTGGGGTACCCCAAAAATGGGCTGGGATACCCCAAAAACCGGCTGGGATACCCCAAAACCCCCTGGGATATCCCAAAAATGGGCTGGGGCACCCCAAAAACCACAGGGACACCCCAAAAACGGGCTGGGGTACCCCAAAACCATGGGGACACCCCAAAAAACCAGCTGAGAGATCCCAAAAACCCACTGGGATACCCCAAAAACCTGCTGGGATACCCCAAAATTCACCGTTCTTTTGGTGATTTTCCCCAAATTCCCATTTTAGGTCACGATGGGGGGATGTTGGTGTTTAAATTGGAGCGGGAGCGCCCCAAATCCCCGTTTTTTCCCCGCTTTTTCCCTTTTTTTTACCTTTTTTCCCCATTTCTGCTCAGTTTTTTTCGGGATTTTTTCCCAAATTCCCATTTTTCCCATTCCAGGTCACGATGGGGGGATGTTGGTGTTCGAGCTGCAGCGGGAGCGCCCCAAATCCCCATTTTTTGCCTGTTTTTTCCCCAATTTTCGCCCAATTTTCACCCAATTTTCGCCCAAAATGCCTCATTTTTTCAGGATTTTTTCCCAAATTCCCATTTTTTTCCTGTTTTTCCCATTCCAGGTCACGATGGGGGGATGTTGGTGTTTAAATTGGAGCGGGAGCGCCCGGCCCACGCCGTGCACGGGAATTTCCTGTTCTATGTCAAGGATCGGTTCCTGCGCCAGCTCGACTTCTCCAGCTCCAAGGACGTGGCTGTGATGCAGCTCCGCAGGTCTGGGGGGTCACAAACCATCCCAAAACACCCCAAATGTATCCCAAAAAAACCCAAATTTATCCCAAAAAAATCACAGATTTATCCCGAAAAGTATTTCAGAGTTATTCCCAAAAAATCCCAAATTTATAAAAAAAAAATCATAAATTTATGCCAAAAAAATCATAAATTTATTCCAAAACATCCCAAATTTATCCCAAAAACCCCAAATTTATCCCAAAAAAATCACAAATTTACTCCAAAAAAATCACAGATTTGTCCTGAAATCCATCCCAAGGTTATCCCAAAAATCCCGAAGTTATTACCCAAAAAATCACGAATTTATCCCCAAAAAAAATCTCAAATTTATCCCAAAAAGATCACAAATTTATCCCTCAAAAAATCCCAAATTTATCCCAATTTTTTTTCCCTTTTCCTTTCCCTTTCCCTGATTTTTTTCCCAATTTTTCCCATTTTTCCAGCGGTTCCAAGTTCCCGGTGTTCAACATGTCCTACAACCCAGCTGAGAACTCCGTGCTGCTCTGCACTGTGAGTGCCCCAAATCCCCAAATCCCAAATCCCCAAATCCCAAAACCCAAAACCCCCAAATCCCAAATTCCAAATCCCCAAATCCCAAAATCCTCAAATCCCAAATCCCGAAATTCCAAATCCCAAAATCCCCAAATCCCCAAATCCTCGAATCCCAAATCCCAAATCCCAAATCCCCAATCCAAAATCCCCAAAATCCCAAAATCCCAAAATCCCCCAAATCCCCAAATCCCAAATCCCAAATCCCCAAAACCCAAAACCCCCAAATCCCCAAATCCCAAATCCCAAAACCCCAATTCCCAAATCCCCAAAATCCCAAATCCCAAAATCCCCAAATCCCTCCTTTTTTGGGCAAAAATCCCCAAAATCCCACATTTTGCCCTTTTTTTTGGGGAAAAAAAAAACCCTAAAATCCCTCATTTCCCATTGTTTTTGGGGGAAAAATCCCTAAAATCCCTCATTTTTCCCATTATTTTTTAGCAAAAATCCCTCAAATCACTCATTTCTCCCCTTTTTTTGGGAGAAATCCCTAAAATCCTTTATTTTCCCCTTTTTGGGGGGTTGGAAAAAATCCCTAAAATCCCTCATTTCCCATTGTTTTTTGGGGAAAAAATCCCTAAAATCTCTCATTTTCCCTTTTTTTGGAAAAAAAGCCCAAAATCCCATTTTTCCCCCCAGAGAGCCAGCAACCTGGAGAACAGCACCTACGACCTCTACACCATCCCCAAGGATGCAGATTCCCAAAATCCCGACGGTGAGTCCTGAAAATCCCAAAAATCCCAAAAATCCTCACCCTTTTCCCCATTTTTATCCCAAAAATCCCCAAAATTTTCACCCTTTTCCCCATTTTTATCCCCAAAATCCCAACGGTGAGTCCTGAAATTCCAAAAATCCCCAAAATCCCAAAAATCCCCAAAATCCTCACCCTTTTCCCCATTTTTATCCCAAAATCCCGACGGTGAGTCCTGAAAATCCCAAAAATCCCAAAATTCCTCACCCTTTTCCCCATTTCCCCCCATTTTTATCCCAAAAATCCTCATCTTTTTCCCCATTTTATCCCAAAAATCCCAAAATCCCGATGGTGAGTCCTAAAAATCCCAAAAATCACAAAAATCCCAAAAATCCTCATCCTTTTCCCCATTTTTATCCCCAAAATCCCAAAAATTCTCATCCTTTCCCCCTTTTTCCTATCTTTATCCCAAAAATCCCGATGGCGAGTCCCAAAAATCCCAAAAATCCCAATAATCCTCATCCTTTTCACCATTTCATATCCCAAAAATCCCAAAATCCCGACGGCGAGTCCTGAAAATCCCAAAAATTCTCATCCTTTTCCCCATTTTCCCCTTTTATATCCCAAAAAACAAAAAAATTCTCACCCTTTTCCCCGTTTTTCCTTTTTTATCCCAGAAATCCCAAAAATTCTCATCTTTTTCCCCATTTCCCCCTTTTTTATCCCAAAATTCCCTCCCATTCCCTTTTCCCCTTTTTTCTCATAAAAATTCCTCCCCAAACTTTGAATTTTTCCCAATTTCGCCCATTTTTTCCACCCCCAAATTCCCAATTTTTTGGGGGATTTGTTCAATTCTCCTTCTGGAATTTTCCACTCTTTCTTTCATCCCAAATTTATGGATTTTTGGGACATTTTCCCATTTTTTTTATTCCCAAATCCCATAAAAATGAATTATTTTGGATTTTTTCCACCTTTTTTTTTGGCCAATTCCTCTTTCCCATTTTTTTGGGATTTATGGATTTTGGAAAGTTTGGGATCGAACATTTCCCCGCTGGGCTCAGCCGGGGGCGGATTTTGGATGGAAAAAGCGGAATTTTGGGAATTTTTCCCAGTTTGGGAAATTGGGAAAATCCATCAAAAGTTTGGGATGGATCGGGRGCGGCAGCTGAGCCCCGGCTCCGATCCCAAAAAACGGGAAAAATGGGAAAATTCTGCTTTTGGGGGGAAAATGGGGATTTTTGGGGTTTTCCATGGAAAATTTGGGGGTTTTAGGGGATTTTAGGGCTGTTCTGACCCCAAAAATTCTGGGATTTTGGGTTTTCCATGGAAAATTTGGGGTTTTGGGGGGATCTTAGAGGGTCCTGTGGGATTTTAGGGCGGTTCTGATCCCAAAATTCCGGGATTTTGGGGGTTTTTTCATGGAAAATTTGGGGTTTCTGTGGGATTTTAGGGAGATTCTGATCCCAAAAATTTCAGGATTTTGGGGTTTTTCCATGGGAAATTCAGGGTTTTTGTGGGATTTGAGGGCCGTTCTGAACCCAAAAATTCTGGGATTTTGGGGTTTTTCCATGGAAAATTCCAGGATTTTGGGGGTTTTCCATGGAAAATTCCGGGATTTGGGGGTTTTACCATGGAAAATTCCGTGTTTTTGTGGGATTTTAGGGCGGTTTTGACCCCAAAAATTCCGGGATTTGGGGGTTTTTTGGGGTTGATTCCCGGATTTGGGGGTGGTTTTGGGGTTTTTTGGGGGTGTTTTTGTGACTGATTCCCATATTTTCTGTCTCATTCCCATATTTTGGGATATTTTTGGAATTTTTGGGATTTGTTTTGTTCCAGCTCCGGAAGGGAAGCGCTCCTCGGGGCTCACGGCCGTGTGGGTGGCACGGAACCGATTTGCGGTGCTCGACCGGATGCACTCGGTGAGAAATCCCGGAATTCCGGGAAATTTGGGAATATTTGGGAATTATTTGAGAATTTGGGAATTCGGGAAATTTGGGAATTATTTGGGAATTTGGGAATTATTTGGGAATTCAGGAATTTGGGAATTCAGGATAATGGGGTTGGGGAATTTGAGAATTCAGGAATTTGGGATTTTGGGAAATCGGGGAATTCAGGAATTCGGGAATTCAGGGAATTTGGGAATTCAGGAAATTGGGGAATTTGGGAATTGGGAAATCAAATTGGGGAATTCAGGGAATTTGGGAATTCGGGGGATTCGGGAATTTGGGAAATCCAGGAATTTGGGAATTATTTGGGATTCAGGAATTTGGGAATTATTTGGGATTCAGGAATGTAGGATTCGGGAATTTGGGGGATTCAGGAATTATTTGTGAATTTGGGAATTATTTGGGATTTGGGAATTTGGGGGATTCGGGGAATTCGAGGAATTCGGGAATTGTTTGAGAACTTGGGAATTCGGGAAATTTGGGAATTTGGGAATTCGGGAATTGGGACATCTGGGAATTGGGGAATTCAGGGAATTCGGGAATTTGGGGAATTCGGGGAGTTTGGGAATTGGGGAATTCAGAGATTTGGGAATTGGGGAATTTGGGAATTGGAGAATTTGGGAATTGGGAAATCGGCGAATTTGGGGATTTGGGAATTTGGGAATTGAGGAATTTGGGGAACTGGGGATCCTGGGAATTGGTGATAACGGGGTTGGGGAATTCAGCAATTTGGGATAACGGAACTCAAAAAAATCTCAAAAAAATCCAAAAAAATCTCAAAAAAACCCAAAAAAAATTCCCAAAAAACCCCGGAATTTTGGGAATTTTTCCAGATCCTGATCAAGAACCTGAAGAACGAGATCACCAAGAAGGTTCAGGTTCCCAACTGTGAGGAGATTTTCTACGCCGGCACCGGGAATCTCCTCCTGCGCGACTCCGACTCCGTCACGCTCTTCGACGTCCAGCAGAAACGGTGGG